ATACATATTTTATGAAAAAGAGGATAAATAAATATACAAGGTATGATGTAGCACGTAATGAAAGTAGTTTATTAGATTATGTATTGGTGGATAAAAAGGTTGATGGGTAGGCTCCAGGATGTACATGTTTATAGAGGGGCAACTGATATATCGGATCATTATTTAGTTGTAGCTACAGTTAGAGTAAGAGGTAGATGGGAAAAGAGGAAGGTGGCAACAACAAGTAAGAGGGAGGTGAAAGTGTATAAACTAAGGAGGAGGAAGTTCGGGTGAGATATAAGCGACTATTGGCAGAAAGGTGGGCTAGTGCAAAGATGAGTAGTGGGGGGTTGAAGAGGGTTGGAATAGTTTTAAAAATGCAGTATTAGAATGTGGGGCAGAAGTTTGTGGTTATAGGAGGGTGGGGGCAGGAGGAAAGAGGAGTGATTGGTGGAATGATGAAGTAAAGGGTGTGATAAAAGAGAAAAAGGTAGCTTATGAGAGGTTTTTACAAAGCAGAAGTGTTATAAGAAGAGCAGAGTATATGGAGAGTAAAAGAAAGGTAAAGAGAGTGGTGAGAGAGTGCAAAAGGAGAGCAGATGATAGAGTGGGAGAGGCACTGTCAAGAAATTTTAATGAAAATAGAAAAAATTTTGGAGTGAGTTAAACAAGTTAAGAAAGCCTAGGGAAAATATGGATTTGTCAGTTAAAACAGAGTAGGGGAGTTAGTAGATGGGGAGATGGAGGTATTGGGTAGATGGCGAAAATATTTTGAGGAACTTTTAAATGTTAAGGAAGAAACAGAGGCAGTAATTTCATGCACTGGTCAGGGAGGTATACCATCTTTTAGGAGTGAAGAAGAGCAGAATGTAAGTGTGGGGGAGGTTACGTGAGGCATTACGTAAAATGAAAGGGGGTAAAGCAGCTGGAACTGATGGGATCATGACAGAAATGTTAAAAGCAGGGGGGGATATAGTGTTGGAGTGGTTGGTACTTTTGTTTAATAAATGTATGAAAGAGGGGAAGGTACCTAGGGATTGGCAGAGAGCATGTATAGTCCTTTATATAAAGGGAAAGGGGACAAAAGAGACTGTAAAAATTATAGAGGAATAAGCTTACTGAGTATACCAGGAAAAGTGTACGGTAGGGTTATAATTGAAAGAATTAGAGGTAAGACAGAATGTAGGATTGCGGATGAGCAAGGAGGTTTTAGAGTGGGTAGGGGATGTGTAGATCAGGTGTTTACATTGAGCATATATGTGAACAGTATTTAGATAAAGATAGGGAAGTTTTTATTGCATTTATGGATTTAGAAAAGGCATATGATAGAGTGGATAGAGGAGCAATGTGGCAGATGTTGCAAGTATATGGAATAGGTGGTAAGTTATTAAATGCTGTAAAGAGTTTTTATGAGGATAGTGAGGCTCAGGTTAGGGTGTGTAGAAGAGAGGGAGACTACTTCCCGGTAAAAGTAGGTCTTAGACAGGGATGTGTAATGTCACCATGGTTGTTTAATATATTTATAGATGGGGTTGTAAAGGAAGTAAATGCTAGGGTGTTTGGGAGAGGGGTGGGATTAAATTATGGGGAATCAAATTCAAAATGGGAATTGACACAGTTACTTTTGCTGATGATACTGTGCTTATGGGAGATTCTAAAGAAAAATTGCAAAGGTTAGTGGATGAGTTTGGGAATGTGTGTAAAGGTAGAAAGTTGAAAGTGAACATAGAAAAGAGTAAGGTGATGAGGGTGTCAAATGATTTGGATAAAGAAAATTGGATATCAAATTGGGGAGGAGGAGTATGGAAGAAGTGAATGTTTTCAGATACTTGGGAGTTGACGTGTCGGCGGATGGATTTATGAAGGATGAGGTTAATCATAGAATTGATGAGGGAAAAAAGGTGAGTGGTGCGTTGAGGTATATGTGGAGTCAAAAAACGTTATCTATGGAGGCAAAGAAGGGTATGTATGAAAGTATAGTAGTACCAACACTCTTATATGGGTGTGAAGCTTGGGTGGTAAATGCAGCAGCGAGGAGACGGTTGGAGGCAGTGGAGATGTCCTGTTTAAGGGCAATGTGTGGTGTAAATATTTATGCAGAAAATTCGGAGTGTGGAAATTAGGAGAAGGTGTGGAGTTAATAAAAGTATTAGTCAGAGGGCAGAGGAGGGGTTGTTGAGGTGTTTGGTCATTTAGAGAGAATGGATCAAAGTAGAATGACATGGAAAGCATATAAAATCTATAGGGGAAGGAAGGCGGGGTAGGGTCGTCCTCGAAAGGGTTGGAGAGAGGGGGTAAAGGAGGTTTTGTGGGTAAGGGGCTTGGACTTCCAGCAAGCGTGCGTGAGCGTGTTAGATAGGAGTGAATGGAGACGAATGGTACTTGGGACCTGACGATCTGTTGGAGTGTGAGCAGGGTAATATTTAGTGAAGGGATTCAGGGAAACCGGTTATTTTCATATAGTCGGACTTGAGTCCTGGAAATGGGAAGTACAATGCCTGCACTTTAAAGGAGGGGTTTGGGATATTGGCAGTTTGGAGGGATATGTTGTGTATCTTTATATGTGTATGCTTCTAGACTGTTGTATTCTGAGCACCTCTGCAAAAACAGTGATAATGTGCGAGTGTGGTGAAAGTGTTGAATGATGATGAAAGTATTTTCTTTTTGGGGATTTTCTTTCTTTTTTGGGTCACCCTGCCTCGGTGGGAGACGGCCGACTTGTTGAAAAAAAAAAAAAAAAAAAAAAAAAAAAAATGTATATATATATATATTTTAAATACCTCTAGACCAAAGATTGATTTTTATATTATATTAAAGATTAATTGATTTTAATGTTGTATATATGTATCCTGAACTCTTTATTACAAAATGAGTAAAACTATGTATGGGTGAGGTGAAAGTGTTGAATGATGATGGAAGTATTTTCTTTTTGGGGATTTTCTTTCTTTTTGGGTCACCCTGCCTCGGTGGGAGATGGCAGACTTGTTAAAAAAAAAAATTACATTTTTTCATTTATTTAAACAAATAAAATTTAATATCTGATTCTGGAAATGTAATATGAACCACAAAAAAAAAGTGATCAACTTTAATTCTGTACAATGCATCTACTTTTACACCCATGACTATATTTCACAGCCACATTGTTTCTATATAATCAAATGTGCACTGTTCTAAACCAAATCACTCATTCTTAAGTTAGTTTATGTCCAATAAGTATGGACATATGGACAAATGCACGTGTGTTTGTGGCTTGGCTGGTAGCATCCTCTGCTCACATACTGAGGGGTATGGGATCAATCTCCAGCGTAGGTGAAATGTTGGGCATGTTTCTTTATACCTCCCTTCCCTGTCCACCTAGCAGTATGTATCTGGGTGTTAGCTGACTGTTGTGGGTCGCATCCTGCATAACCAGGGGCTTTCTATAAAGCATGCCAATAAGGTCAATTAGGTCTGTATCAGTTGTAACATGTACAGTGGACCCCCGCATAACGATTACCTCCGAATGCGACCAATTATGTAAGTGTATTTATGTAAGTGCGTTTGTACGTGTATGTTTGGGGGTCTGAAATGGACTAATCTACTTCACAATATTCCTTATGGGAATAAATTCGGTCAGTACTGGCACCTGAACATACTGATGGAGTGAAAAAATATCGTTAACCGGGGGTCCACTGTACTTTGTGGAAATAAAGACTGTTCCCATTATTATTATTATTAACCCTTTGACTGTTTACGCCGTATAAATCCGTCTTACGCGCCACTGTTTCTGATGTATATATACTCAATAATTCTAGCGGCTTCAAATCAAGCGGAATAAAGCTGGTAGGCCCACATGTGAGAGAATGGGTCTATGTGGTCAGTGTGCACCACAAAAAAAATCCTGCAGCACACAGTGCATAATGAGAAAAAAAAACTGATCTTTTTTTGGATTAAAACGCCAACTTTGAGGTGTATTTTCATATAGTATTTATCGATGTATTTGCGTTTTCATGGTCTTAGGTGATAAAATGGAAAACATATTACAGATATAGAGATGATTTTCATTACTTTGACGATGAAAACGACCTTGAAACTGAGCTCAAAGTAGCGGAATTGTTCGATTTTTACAAATGTTCAGAAGTAAACAAATCACACCACACGTCCAATACACGTCAACTGGGGAGTCTAATATTCTTTCACTAGTGCACTGATATTATTTATACCATTTTTACAATAATGCAGTAGTCTGCATAACAGTAAATTTTGTATTTTTTTGTATGAATAAAAAGTCAAAATAGAAAGCAATAATAATATAAGAGGGGCCTAGAGATGTGACTAATGAACAGAGGATATGTTATTTTAGTGCCAAGAATGTCTACTTTGTTTATTCTGGACCCTATTTTGGAATTGGCATCTTTTTTAGTTTGCGTGAAATTGGCCAAATTGCCAATTTCTGACCACCATATTGGGTAGTCCAAATTGGTAAATGGGAGGTTTCTTGTACTCAGCTGATAGATAAAATGGAGTTCTAAAGAAATAGCTATGAGTTTGGTCAACTGGAACAACGGAATTGGCTGAAAATAGGGCTCAAATTCGGCAAAATCGCCGATACACATATGTTGCCTAGACCGCTAACTTTGCGGGAGCGTAATTCCATGAGTTTTCGACCAAATTTCGAACTTTTGGTGTCATTACCATCGGGAAAAGATTCTCTATCATTTCATAAGAAAAATAATTTTTTTTTTTCAAAAATTTAGCGACATAGAATGACAGTTTCAGAAAGGGGCCTGAAACAGTCAAAGGGTTAAAAGATGAAACAAAAATCCTAAGATCAACAGAAAATATGGTAATTCACTTGCTAATACAGCATTAATCACGGAATGGATGGAGATCAAACCCATGGCAAGCGATTCCTAAAACTTGCAAGCCACACTGGCCTGTGAGTCTGAGGACTCACAGGCCATGTGTTTGAGTTACACCTGTTCCGTGATTTGTTTGCAAACATGTCATTGCAATTTCATGAAACAATACTAAAACATTACCTGTTCCTGTGTCTGTAAAACAATAACTGTAGGAGTCTTGTCAACTATTCCAGCTCCTTCCTCATGTATAACAGGCACATCAGAGAGTGGGACCACACTGGCCTCTCCATCATCACGGATAACCAGAGCCCATCTTGAACTCCCTGGCTCTTCCATCTGAAAAGAGCAAAATTAGTTTATATTAATTTTACAAATGTAACTGAATATTCCTAATATGCTGTAAATGTATTCGGAATTTTATAAAAGTTTAAAGTGCATGTGAAAAGAGTTTTGGACTTAATTTCTGACATGTGAAATGTTAAAAATTGATTTCTATTGCTATCATTAATTGATAGATATTAAAAGATGTATAAATAGCTACAAATACACACTCATGTGACTGTCATCTTGTGTAGTAAAGAAATATTACAAAATTATATTGATTTTATTGTACTATAAAACTATATAAAAAGAGCATACGAGTAAATTCTTCACATGACATGTGGAACTGGCACAAAAGACTTTCATAAAAGTGAAGTGAAGTTATACTTGCTATACTGGCATGGTTCAAGCAGCTTCCTAGTCTTACAAAAAAAATTGTTTCCCAGGAATTAGGAAGTGGAAATTCTTGGTTTACATGAAAAGGTTTTGCATTATGAAACTGTATAAATCCAAATATTCACTTTAATACAAATATAGTAATGGGTTTAAATCTCCATATGAAAATTAAATCTTGCAATAATCTACTGTATTATGAAAATAAATTTTTTTATTGCCAAGATAGTACGATTTAGTGTGTACTTGATAAAGCAATACAATCAACCAAGTTAAATACGTCATCTGTTAGCATTACTGGAGATTATTGTCCTAATGGCCTGGTCTCAGATGGTCATAAATAACCCATAATTTGGAAAGGATACTTTAGACGATGTTTTGGTTCATCCTGGACCATTATCACTTTGCATATGAGAGAGGAGAGAGAAAAAAAAAAGGTCAGGTGATGAGGTGAGGAGAAACTAAAGGTCAGGTCAGTCATGTGTGTATGCTAAAGATTAGAGCATTTGACAATGCAATGAGAAAGGCAGGCATTAACAGAAATAAAAAAGGGATAAAATAAATGTTAAGAATGGTGCATATGAGGGTTAATTCAACAAGATGAAGTCTGTGAAGGCTAGAATACTTTTGGCTTATGGGATAGCTATAATCTCTAACATGATATAAAATAGCATTCATAGCATCACATGACTAAAGACTGTGCCTGGGGCACAGCAGCCTCCAAAGAATATTTGTAACTTCTATGCTCAAATAAATAAATATTGTCTAACATGGCTACATAATTTTTTTGTCTATTCAACTAGCCAGTGACATTACTTGAGTTCAATATTTAAAGATCTGTTTATAGTTTTACCTACATTCCATGAGTTCATCCAGGTAAATGCTACAATATTACTATGTGCATCCCAATAAACATCATAAATGTTTTAACATACCCTAATGTACTGAGAATGTGTGTGAAGTTTTGGCTAACGATATAAACTACAAACCAGCAAATTTTCTACTTTTTAGGTATATACTGAGTAACTGACACAACCTAACCTAACTCCACCAACCTAGGTGCATTTGTTCCCAAAAACCACTATCATAATAATAAGATGCTTTTATTACTAACAGTTTGACTAGATCAAAATCAAATCAAAATTTATATTTTCAAAATATTTTCATATGTACAGCATTCTGGGATTGGCGAGTGCTTGAGGCTTGGTAGCATCCTCAGTTCACAACTGAGGAACTGGAGTTTGTTCCCCAGCACAGGTGAAATGCAGGTCATGTTTCCTTACACCTGCTGTTACTGTTCACCTAGCAGTATATAGGTACCTGGGTGTTAGTCGACTGTTGTGGGTTGCATCCTGGGGGACAAGACTGAAGGACCACAATGGAAATGAGACAGGAGGTCCTCGATGACACACGACTTTCTTGGGTTATACTGGGTGGTTAACCCTCTGGGTTAAAAATCCAAAAGAAGGTTATCTTATTTACATGCAACATGTAAGAATATTAAAAATAAGAGTAATACAGATTTCCATTGTAAGTTATGTCGAGGTCACACGAACCTTAAAACATTAGTTTCTTTAACTGCTTGACTGTGCATATTATTAGTTATTGATAATATATTTATTCGTTTTAATGTAAAAAATTGTCATCAATGTTAACATATCTACACAAGGCATTTTTTTTAGTTATCCTTGGTTAAGTCATCAATCATCACAATTTTGTCTATATCCGGCACTTTTAACATGCAAGTGTATGTATATATATATATATATTATATATATATATATATATATATATATATATATATTATATATATATATATATATATATTTTATATATATATATATATATATATTTAATTTAAATTATTATCACATATAATTTTAGGCAGATTATTATTATTATAATCAAGGGGGAAGCGCTAAACCCGGAGGATTATACAGCGCCTGGGGGGGGGGGATGTGGAAGACATTCAGGCTTAATTCGGGGAACTGGAGCACAGATCCAATTCCCTAAATCAAGAGCCCCTCACCAACATCAAGGAACCTTCCTTGAGGGGAATTTTAGGCAGAAACTTAATCAGTTGGAGTTTTCACTCGGCAACATTTTGTCTTGCACATACCTCTTGCAACTTGTGAGCCTAAGACACATATGTGTTCATGTGATCACTGCACCACCTATGATATTATAGTTACAGGAACTTGTTCAGATGACGGAAAAAGAAATATATTGGTGCCATCTCGGGTATATTTTGTTGTTGTTGAGGTTGTCAGGGTTGAGGTTGTGAAGGGCGACTTAAACTTTACCGGAATCAGGGAAAAAAAATACTACGTTGTCTTAATGTGCCAGCGCTGTATAGCCCTTGTGGTTTAGCGCTTCTTTTTGATTATAGTAATAATAATGTCTTAATGTGCCGGGAATTATAAGTCAGTCAGTAAGTTTATTCAGGTATATACAAATACAGTTACATAGATTATCATACATAGCAGCATATGTGTAGATTTAGATTTAGATTAGATTTTGCCACCGAAGTGGCTAGTTTATTGTGCACCCCATATCCACCCATATCCATCCTGTGGACGGTAGCGCGAGAGCATATGGATACACAAAAGGCCTAGGAACTAGGCCCTAAAGGGTTAACAGGAATACATATGGATTTATATCTACATACCCACAGTTCACCTATCTGTTATATGCAAATTTAGGAAATTTGCTTAGTATATTTGGTATCTTATTTTCATTAATAAGATACCTTGACATGTCACATAGGTTATTATACTGTCTGTCTCTGTATTCCTCAATAAGTGGACAATTAAGCACATAGTGTTCAAGAGAGTGACCATATGCCTGATCACATAATTTACATTTAGTTTGATCATCATCTGTGTGTCTCCCAAACTGCCAGAAGTACTTGTAACCAAGCCTAAGCCTGGCCACTACAACATCAGTCAGTCTGTTCACATTGCAAGTTGCTCCATAAACATACTTATCTACGTTCATATTATCATAGTGGGTTATAGATCTACTCAGGCTTCTAACTGCATTCCTATAACTATCATTTTCATTATTTACTTCTCTCCTAATATTATTCCTAATGCTAGACACAGTTATACCAAAGTTATATTCTACATTCTCCTTCTGGGTACTCTTCTTGGCTAACATATCAACTTTATCATGAAGGAGTAATCCAATGTTTGATGGGATCCATAGCAATTGTACATTAATTCCTTTGTTCCTAATTTTTGAGTATCTATACCTGGCTTCTCCAATGAGCATGTTGTTGGAGTCATTATATGAGTCAAGAGCCTTCAATGATGACATAGAATCAGTAATGATGATGGAGTCAAGCTCAGTGTCATAGGTTAGCTTTAGCGGCATTAGGATTGCGAACAATTCAGTTTGCAGTGTAGACGCCCAGTTGTTAATTCTTATGCCTAACTCAACAAATTTATTTTCGTTTTTAACAAGGGAGGTGGCAACAAGAGCAGATGCAGCCCTGCCAGAAGACTCCTGTTTAGATCCATCAGTGTATATAACTTGTGATAACTTATTACTACCAGCTAGGTGAGAAATTTCTTCTTGAGCAGTTGCTCTAACAAGAGATTTAAGGAAGGGATTACTAGCAATGAGCTTCTTGGGAGGGACTTGCAGGTATGTGATATTAAATGAACATATCTTCCACGGTGATACAGTTCATGCAGGTTATGAAACTTGATGTAATTGCACGTTTTCACAATCCATTTAGATCTGTGTGTATTTACCTCTAGACACTTGGTAAGATTCATTGTGACAGTGTCTGGTTAGTTTCTCAACATTCTAATACCGAGTACAGTGTTAATCTCAATAATCCTATCACTGATACTAGAAATACCAAGCTCCTTCCTCATGTTAAGAACTTTGGTAGATCTGGGACAGCCAAGAATAATCCTGAGAGCTTCATTTTGCATTAACTCCAAGGGTCGGAGAGAACTTTCTCTAGCTAATGTCAACATGGGAGCAGCATAATCAATTAAGGACCTAACATAGGCTATGTACATCATTCTCACGATTCTCACATTAGGTAAGACACATAGGCAACAGTTAGGCAACTTTATTCCGAAACGTTTCGCCTACACAGTAGGCTTCTTCAGTCGAATACAGAGAATGTAACCACTGAAAGGTCAGGTCCCTCTCAGATCCAACAATTCTCACTTGATACAGAAAACACCTTGGACAAACTTTTCAAGAGAGAATTGTTGGATCTGAGAGGGACCTGACCTGTCAGTGGTTACATTCTCACTACTACTACTACTCTGCACCTCTCCTTCCGACAGTATTTAAGTCTCCGCACTGTCGCTTGATCTTCAGATAGTTCCTGACTATGGAACTGAACTTCTCCAGGCCGAGGGACTGACAACCTCAAATTCTACGACTTTAAGGGTGATGGACTGATTACATCGTCTTCTCTACTGTTCCTGCCTACTTTCTGTATTCGACTGAAGAAGCCTACTGTGTAGGCGAAACGTTTCGGAATAAAGTTGCCTAACTGTTGCCTATGTGTCTTACCTACCAACCTGTCGGTATTGTATACCATTTTGATGTTCATTCTCACATTAGCACCATAGTTGGGGTTGTAGCCAGCAACAGCTTTGAGAGCATTTAGCCTAGCTTTGCATTTCTTGTTTAGTTGTGGTATAGTGGATTTGTTAAAGGGTACATCTACACCAAGATATCTGTAAGTTTTAACGTAGCTAATGATTTCACCCTGCAAATAGATGGGTGGGAGATGTCGTTTTCTTGTTAATATCTTTGTTTTAGAGGAAGATATTATGAGGCCTAGTCGATTACAAATTGCTTGAACTTCATTAAGAATGGTATTCATCTTCTTATGCCCTGTTGTATGGATCATGATATCATCAGCATAACTTATAGCTATATGTTTAGGTGAGGCAGGTAGAGCATTTAGGAGAGCATTAATCAGAATATTAAATATCATGGGACTAAGAACTCCTCCCTGCGGTGTACCTAAAGACATTTCTTTAGAATCACTTCTGAAGCCTTGGTAAAGGACAGAGGATACTCTATTTGACAGGTATCCTATTATCCAGCAGAGTAAGCTACCACCAATATTGATTTTGGCTAGTTCATGTAGTATAACGGTTCTGTTCGCAATATCAAATGCAGATTTTAGATCAAGAAAAGTGGTAAAACTAGTAGAGGTTTTGTGCAGTGAGAAAGGTGGAAATACAGTTCTGCACACTTTTACCTTTCATGAACCCATAGAGGTAGGGGGAAAGTTGGTGTCTGATTCTGTAGTACAGTCTGTTAAGTATCATTCTTTCAAAAGTTTTACAAAGACAACTAGTTAAGGAGATCGGCCTAAATGTATCAGGCTGTTGGGGCTTAGGGATAGGCACAATGAGACTATTGGTCAGGAAGTAGTGAAGAACGCCCTCAATGTAACAGATTATACAGTGCCAACAAAGGGTTATCAGGCACGTGCCTTAGAGTTCTGAGAATATCATAGGTTATACCATCCTCTCCAGGAGCAGTTGATCGACCTTTAGTTAATGCATTATCTAATTCATACTCGGTAAAGAGGCAATCACTCTCATCAATATTTTGGCTCATAAAATTAATCAGTTTCAACATTTCTTCAGAAGTACTCTCTAAATTTTTTCTAATATGAGATGGAAGGTTTTCATGCCTGGATGTTTTGGACAAGTCATTTATGAGGTCATTTGCTTTTTCAAGAGGAAAGGGATTAGCAACATTGCCAGTCTTTTTCCTGGTTATTTTATTTATACCTTTCCAAGCCAAACTTAAAGGGGTGGACCTATTTAAACCACTAACAAACTGTTCCCATTCCTGTTGCCTAAGTTCTTGCTTTCTATTCCTTGCATTTGTTAGTGCAGCTTGGAACATTCTGAGCAGGTCTGGGGTTCTACATTCACGGTATGCTTTACCAATCCTCCTAGCTGCATGTGTTAGATTGCGTAGCTGTGGATCATTATAGTATTTACATTGGTTTTTATTGTTATTTATAGTGGAGGGTCTTTGTTTCCTATTCCTGCCCACTTGATCTGTGAGAACACTCTCAATAGTGGTAATTAAATCATTAAATTTTTGTGTGCCAATGGGCTCGTAATTGGTTAATGAAGTTGTCTCTGTGTTCTGGTTTGAGAATAAGTTTCCTCCTTCTGTATTTAGCTCCTTGATTGCTGGAGATGTGATCAAGATTGACAGTTGTTAGTCTTGGGAAGTGATCAGATAGAAGATCATCAACTAGGACAGAGTCATGCATCGTATATGATGTATTAAATCCAAGACACAGATCTAGTATGCCACCATATATGTGAGTAGGCTCAGTAGTACCCACAATTCGAACATTATCATGCTCATTTAGCAATTTCACTAGTTTAGTTCCATTGGTGTTTGTTATAGATCCATCAATATTCTTATGTCTGGCATTAAAATCTCCAAAATGTGTAGAGAACCTAAGATAACCCAAAAAAGTCAGTGACTTATTTCCGTTGGGGAAATACATTGGGACTAGTAATAATATATCTTTATTTCTACATGTACAAGGTATACATGCCTAGCTGACATCAGTGAGTTGATTTAGGTACACAAAAGGACATTTAAGTATAAATTACCTAAGATAACCCAAAAGAAGTCAGATAGTGACTTATTTCCATTGTGTGATAAGTAAGAGGATACAGTCTCAAGATTTCAGATATCTCATCATTTATAATGAAGTGTTTTGCTATATCCTACAGGATTTCCTTGGCGGTGTCTCTGAAAGTTAGTTAGTTTAATATCTTTATTATGCACCACATACCCATCATGTGGGCGGTAGTCAAAAGATTACAGAGGTACATAATGGGTCCAGGGACTGGACTGGACCCCAAGGTTATGATGGCTGAACAAGGTACAAAGATAATGAACTCACAAGTTACAAAGGTAATGAATGAATCATGTAAGTAAGTAGGTGTCTCTGAAAGACTGGATATTTGGACACTTATGATGTGAATGTGATGATATACATGTTTCACAAGTGTCTTATCGACTTGTCTGTATTGTATACCCTCGTATATATATCTTATGAGTGTCCAAACATCCAGGCTGTCAGAGACACCTTCATGCAAATCCTGTAGGATACGTCAAAATACGTCAATGTTAAGATGAGATAAGATTTGTTTGAATTTTCAACCCTGAGGGTTAAATACCCAAGATAACTCAAAAAATTGGTGCGTCATCGAGGATTGTATTACTTCTATTACTACTACTGCTACTATTACTACTACTACCATTACTTTTACTACTAGTAAGTTCATTTAGG